AAAAGCAGATGCTTAGATCCACAGTCCCTAATGACTGTAAATGGAAGAATTAGTTTATTGATTGATGGCCTAATTGTTGCCATCAGGATCACAAGCGATAGCTGCCAGCCCTGGTGGGGGGAAGAGGAAAGCCATAGGGGTGAAGGCTGGGTGGGATGGGCCATGCAGCAACACCGTCAGCAGGTTTCCAAATGATTCCAGCACACGAGCTGTCAAGCAAAAGTTAATTAACTTACACTTCATCCAACAGAGGTCAGAGCCTTTGAATGCGTATTGATGCGTAACCTTCAGTGGGGTGCATTGACTTGCCCCCGATCTTTGCACGATAATGGAGAGACTGCGGGGCCTGTAAACAACAGCAAATGCTATTGCTGCTTCCCTCTGCCTTCCTCCTTCGTTTGCCCATGAAATAAATGGAAGGAGGGGACGGTCGATCACTTCTAACAGTGCCAGAGTGACCTTCGGTGCTGCTCGTGCATGGAGGATCTGCTGTCGCCTCCTGCTAACACTGTGCAAAGCCACGGAGCAGAGCCCTGTTGCTCCTGGGTGATGGCACAGCATCACTGCCAGCCAGGAGACTTCAGGATGAAAAGCATCAGGGAAGCTTTAGGGATGTGCTTGGTGTTTTTGTGGCACCTGAAAAATCAAGAGGAAAAAAAAAAATAAATAAAACAACACAACAGATTTGCAAGAGGATTTAAGAGGCATCGAGTTGCCTGGATACCAGATCCTGTAAGTACCCAAAAAGTAATTATAAAGCAAGAAATCTGTCTCAGCTAAGCAGGTGGACGGGAAATTGGAAATCCATTTGCGAGAGGCGTTCTGCTTTCTAACAAGACAGGTCACAGCTCACGCTCTCCCTGCAGCCTCGTGCTCCTGCCCCTGGCATCTCCACGTGGTGCTTCCCAAGGATTCACTTGGAGTTCATCACATCCTGAGCTCACAGCCTGCAAGCAAACTTCTCCAGTTTGGCTTTTTTTTTTTTTGGAGCAGCCCCAAGCAGCTTCCTGCAAGCTAAGCTGCACCCTCCCCAAATGTTTCTGCTCCACATCGCAGCTCTGAAGCAATAATTGAGAATAAGGGGAAAAAAAACTGTTTCACCTTGATAGGGTTTCAAGGTGCTTTTAAAGCACAAGGCCCAAACTCTTGCCTAAGAGTGCTTAAATTCACACACACACACTGAGATCTGTCCCCTACACAAAAGAACATCCAGGTTCAGGGGAGCGCCGCTTTTAGAGGCCAATTTCTGCACTCCGTCACAAATATTTCCACTTTAATAATCTCCAAAGTAATAATTTCTCGAATCCCATTTTCTCCTTAATGCTTGTTCCCACTTTTCTTTTGCACTTCACTCCATAAAACGTAACTACTCCATTTCCCATTGCTTTCCTGCCGCTTTTCTCCTTCCCCCTCTTTGGCCCCCGATGCTGCAGTCTCAGCTCAAGGACGGGTCGCTTTTCCCGGTGTTTTCTAGATTCAGCCCCCGAAATTTGCGGGCACATCCCCTTAAGGACACACAGGGCATCGCAGGAGGTGCACGGCAGGAAGGGCTCAGCGCTCACTGACATCGAATCCCTTCTGCAGGGAGCAGGGCTGATGCTGCAGCACCCAACGCACGGACCTCGCAAGGCGCTGCTGCGTGGCCAGGAGCATCATTACGGCTACAGAAGACTTTTGCTGCTGTAATTGTTTCTGCGTGGCCTGGGAGGAGATGGGTTGTGCCGAGAGGAAAGAAGAGATTTTGCTGAAGCGTGAAAAGCAAAGCCATTTAGTTAGGTAATAGCTCCGAAGCTTCAGGGGTCAGCAGACTGAGAACTCCAGGAAAATGCTTTTCAGGGCAGGACAGCCTGAAGACAAAGAAGAGAAAGAAATCGAAACAATGCATTGTTAAGTGGCCTCTTTACCCCCCTCCCTGTTTGCTCTTTTACAGCATCAAAATAGGAACCGGGGAGGAGAATTAGCGGCAGCACCGCAGCAGTCATCGGGAAGGAAAAATAAAGGGGAATGGCAATGAGGACAGAGAGCTCCGACCAACTGCAAGGAGCTGCCTGCAAGGCTACAAGGGGCGGTGGGAGCAGAGTGCAGGAGGAAGCAAAGCCCGGCAGCAGTGTCGTCTCACTCTGACACACGGACATGCAGACACACAGACACACACAGACACACGGACACACATGCTGCTCCACCCTCTCAGCCCCCGTTGAGGGACTCTTTCTTTCCATGCAGTATATTTCTCCCTACAGTAAGTCTCATCCATTCCACGGGCGACAGTTGTGACAGCACGGAGGGTGGGCTGGCAATGCTTCGTGTCGTCCATCAGCGCATCGCTGAGACTCACAGGGCTTCACATGGACACGGGCAGGGCCATCACCCGCCCCTTTGCAATTAAAGGCAGCACTGCCCCGTGTCAGAGCATCCCGAACACGTGGGATGGAACACGTTCAGCAGGAATAGTGCTGCAGCAGGACAGAAACTTGGCAGCATCTCCTGGGCTTTGCTCTGTTTTGTCACCTTTCCACATATCGGGGGAACACATCTGTTTGCTTTTCTTTCTTTCTTTCTCTTCCCTCCCCTCCTCCCCCCAAAGGCAAATTCCAGCTCCAAAGAAAGGAATCGCTGAACATTCAGCACAGCTCTCCTGGAAGGAATGTGAACTACCAGAGGAAATCTCTCCCTGCCACCTCCCATCGCACCCTACCCGGAATGCAAGAAGAAAAGTCATTGGAGTGATTGGAGCAGAATCAGAACAAGCACTTAGTGGTCTTTAAGGACCCATAAAACACTTCAGTAGTTTGCTGTTTTATATCTGACTATCTTCCACATTAGCCATTTAAATTAAAACATTTATAATTAATTGAACAAATCATTTCCTCTCTCCCCCTTTGGGGACTGGCACGCATAAGTCTTCAGTAAATTTTAGTCTCTTCAGCAACAGGGGGATCCATTTCTTTTATAGGGCTTTTTTTTCCTGCAGGGTGTGAATCAAGGGCAGGCAGAGAGCAGTTTTAACTGGAAAATCAATTGATAGGGAAGACAAATTAACACGTATTTTTTCAAAAGGGGGAATGCAGAAGGCACCCCAGGGGCAGATGGGGCCCTTTTGGGTTCCTGAAGCTGCGCTGCAATGGGGCAGAGGGAGAGGAAAAGTGTGGGGTTGTTGGAGAAGCACAGGGATGTGTGGGGTGATCCCTGCACAGAAGGGTGAGGTCGAGGGCCCTATCATTTCCAAAGAGCCGCTTTCGGATAAGAAGCTTAAACAGGAGGATTATCTGGGCAGCGAGATCCTCATCCTGCAGCCGCCTCCAAAAGCGACCTGGGAAGAACCGACAGTGCCAGGAAGGGGGCATTCCCTGCACGAGGCACAGAGCACAACCCAGGACAGCCCACGGCTGCCATGAGAATCTGCCAAGGGAAAAGGGGAGTGCAAAAAGCAAAGTAAAATCAGGGCGATGCTTAGCAAAGATAACCGAGGCGAGATGCACCGTGCCTGGGATGCGCAGGGTGGGTGGCAGTGGGGGCAGCCCCTGGGGCAGTTTGTGCTGAGCTGGGGAGGCCCTGGCCTCTGCCAATGCTACAGTTTGTTTGGATGCCCTGGAATTGCCTTTGTCAGCAGATCTGTTCTTTTATTGTGAAAGAGCCTATTAGCTTCTGCTTTCTACTTCTGTGGGAATTTATCCCTCCATCAGATCTTCAGTATAAAAGTGCTTCCCTTACTGAGATTGATACCGCGTATATGAAAAGCTCCGCGTGCCTCTGGGCGAGGCGGCCCTTTCCCTGAGGAAGGATGAAGAATGGCTTTGAAAGCAAAGCACTGAGCAGCTCCTGAAGATGAAATCTCAATTCCGAGGTCTGCTGTGACCTTCCCTGTGGCCTTGGGCTGTCACCGGGGTCTCGGATCCCCGCACAGCACAGTGGTTCTCATTGGGCTCTGCACCACCTGAGCACTATCCCACACCCCACAGCAGGATGAGGGCCAGATTAAAATAATAAATAACAATAATCATCAGCTCGGGGCTCTGCAGCAATGCATCGCCATGGCAACCACGTGCCAGCAGTGATGCTGCCTCGCTGACACCTGCAGGTCCCTCTGCCACCAGCGTGCCCCCAGCCCTGCCCTCCTCTTGCAGTGGGCACCACATTGGTGACATCTCCCTGTCAGCATCAGTGTGGCTGGGGAGGACTTTCCCCATGCTCAACCCTCGCATTGCTGCCTGGGGTTTATGCTAAGGCTGAGCAACAGAACCAGTTCTCACCAGCAACGAGCCATCACTTTGCTTTTAATTATCAGGAAAGTCCCGAAGCGTCAAAACCTGTTTAACTTGGGCTGATGGAAACTTGATTGTCACGGCTCCATTTCTTTTTCCTGCACATTCTTTTTCAGAGCAAACCACGTGGAAAGCTGAACTTGAATGGGGAAGGGGACTGTGTGGCCGTACCCTCCTTGGGTGGTGGAGATGGGAGTCACCTCTCCACTGCCCCCCCCTTTGATCTGTCCAGAGCCAAACTTAATAAACAGCCAGATGCTCTCAATTTAATCATCAAAATACCTTGCAGAGGATTAACTGCCAGTTTCCTCTCTTAATCACTATTGATATAATGAGATGACAGGCAGCTTTCTGAGGGGGAACGCATTAAGCAGGAGGGCTGTGCTGCACTGTGGCACACTGTGGCTCTGGGGCAGACACAGGGCAGCACTTCACAATCCCGTTCCCTTTCAGCTTCCAAAATGTAAAAACAGCAATTCAAAATATATTTCACCAAGCAACAAATCCCCTTGATAAAAGAAATGCTAAGGCGGCAAGAGAGAGCCAGACTTAATCCGCAGACAGCGTTGCTCTTCTTGCTCCTGCAGGAGGGCTGCTTTGCTGCTGGGCACAGTGGGATCCTGCCTGGCCAAGGGAGCCTCCAGTATCTTCCCATTCCTCTTGCACTCCTCCCAGTCCATGCACCTTGAATTGCAACCCAGAGCGGCCTCTGTCCCAATGCAAGGGATGAACAAAGCTGGAGTCTGCTCGGCATGCACCCATCCCTGTGGAACCCAGAACAGTTCTGCCTGTGGATCATATTCTGCCTGGATTTAGAGGAGAAAGGAACTATTATGAGAAATAGATCAGAAGTGACACAGCTCATTATTGCCAGGTGAGCTGGAGTTGGAGACAAGGGCAAAGTTAATAGAAAACGTATCCAATCCACAATGGTAACTTTAATTGTTACCACTAATGAAGCCTATTTAGGATGTATTATGTATCTGGCACTTCAGATGCAGCTCTTCATTCATCTTCCACGTCAGGTGTCCCTTCGCATCAGACCCACACGAGGGGGGGGTTTACCCTTTTTTTTTGGAGCAGTCGTGGCTCACACCCAGCCCTGCAGCACCCAATGCCCACAGGATGACTGCACAGCCCTTAGGAGGTGGCTGCTGCCCCAGCCCTGCCTTCCTCCACCCCTTCCCCATTGGCACTCCTGGAATTAAGGGCAATTTATAATTGCTTTCTTCAGTAAGAAAACCTTTGGAGGAAAGGGCCAGTGATAGATTCCAGGTTTTATTGGAGCTGACAAGGAGCACTGCTCGCACGGCACCAGACCCGGCACCTTGGCAAACACCAGCTCTGCACTGACCCTCCCCTGGGGCACCAACAGACACCATTTTTTAATCTATTAATATAGGAATTAAACATGCTGCCTGGTTGGGCTCCTGCAGTGCTGCTGAGCAATGAGTGCAGCCCTGGTGTGCTGTGCCCACATTGGCACACGCTGCCCAGGGAGTGGTGGTGTCAGCCTCAAGGGTTTGCTTATAGGACCCCCCCAAAAGGATGTTGGGACAGCATCTCCTGGGCACTCCTCCACTTCCCAGTCCAGGTGGGAAGCCCAGCACCCCTGGGATTAAAGACCAGAGCACTTGGATATTACTGATATTATGGCAATGGGAGCCATTGAAAAGCTAAGATGGATGGATCCATCTCTTCTTCCATCCATTGTATCCATCATATAACCGTGTTTTACCACAATATCTCTTTAAATAATGCTGCTTTCTTTCCACTGGGGAGGGAGAAATAATTAAAAAAAAAAAAAGAACAACTATTAAAAAGAAAAGGAAGTGATGGGGGGATGGATAATTGCCTTCCACAAAAATTAAGGAAAAGAAAAATGATGTAAAAAAATTACTTCTCTTATAAAAGGGCATTTCATAATGGACCTTTAAAGCATTCCATCAAGTAAAACCAACACGTTTATTTGAAGTGCTAAAGAGGAGCCTTCAATCAATCTGAGAACTTCATTTTTACACTGTAATGAATTCCACTGACCTTTGTGTTGCAGAGATACTGTGGTGGTGGGGGGGAGCTCCATGCCTGCATTCTCACTGTGGGCCCTGAGCTGAGCACCAGGGCTGGGGCTGGGGCCATGTCCATGGGGCTGCATGTAGGGGACCTCAGGAAGGTTCCAGCTGCAGAAGTTGGCCAAACCCAACGTGTCCCAGCACCACTCCTGCTCCTGGAGGGCTTCTCCATGGGGCTGTGCAGAATGCACCATGCCAATCATGCAGGAAGCCCACGGAGGAGCAGGGAAGAGGTGATGGGAAGCGAAGCAGCAGCAAGATCTGCCTGCACCACGTCTGCATGCTCTGTGCTGAAATCCTGAGCTCAGATCTCTGCTCCCAACGCAATTACTATCAGCTAATGGGAGCTGGGAAATTACCTCTCCCTTTTCACTGATTGAAATCCCATTTTGTCTATGCACGTGGTCAATGGAAGGGCATTCACTTGTTAACCCTGGAAAATCAGAGACAAAGGCTCCAGACCCCATTCCTGAGCACTCTGTGCAATGTGGGCCATGCAGAAGCAGAGCTGGAGGGTTCTGGACACAGAGTAGGGGTGGAGGAGCCCAGATTTCAGCTCTTAGGGCCCAGACCCTAAGACCTAGAACAGACCCCAAACCCAGCTGTGACACTGCTAACAATGGCTAAAATACAGGAAAAGCATTTATTACTGAGGCACTTATCCCCCAAATTGCACCAGGGCTAATTAACATTTATAAAAAGCGTACTCATCATAAACATATATTAACCTTTGAAGCATACATAACAGCAATAGTAAAGTATATAATGAGAGTGGAGAGACACACCAAGCATCAGAGTTCCTGGCTGGAAATGTCACTCTGGAAATGCCTCCTTTGGGTTGAATTCTGAAGTTTGCCCATAGTTAGCATCATTTCCAAGCTTCCAGGCTGCTTGGTGATGTGCCCTCCTGCCCCTGCCACCACAGGGATTCCAATGAAAACCAATCCCATCCCTGTTGCTGTGTCCCCTGTTCTCTCTCTTCCCCACGGGGGAAAGAAAAGAAGGGAAAAAGGAAACGAGAGCAAAATCTGTGCTTCTTCACTCCATCTGCCCACATCGTTAGCAGCCAAGTGGTCAATGCACATCTCATTTAACAAGAAACTAATGAAGATCTATCGCTGCTCCTTAGCTTCACCACCACCCCCATTGCTCAACGGCACCTTTGCATGGCATATGTATTCAAAGCTGCAACTTTTGACTGTAGAAATAACACTCTCCTTGGGGAAAGCCACAAAGCAGGTCCCCCATATACACATGTGCAGGCACACATATTGGGGAGCTCTTCCTGCTGAGCCCAGCGAAGGGCCGGGGGAGGATTCATTTCCACCAAACCCAGCGCTTTTGTTTGCTCAGCAATCAAGAAGCACTTCTGATTTCGGTTGTGTGCATCTCCTCGTAAAGCCTCAGAGTCAACAAAAGCCAAAGCCATTTAACTCAGTGCTAATATAAAAGTGAGCAGGAAGCAGAGCGCGCGCGGCACAGAGCACAAGGCTCTCCAGAGCAACAATGAGCAGCAATTACGCTTATCGGGAGCGCTGCGGTGGAATCCGGCACGTCTGCAGGCTGGTGCCAGTAATCACAGTTAATTTCACAAAGTCTGGATGACATATAGGGAAGATTTAGATGTTCTAATTACTCCGCTGAATACCAGGGGTGCTGCTGATGAGGGAGGCAGGCACACGCACATCCACACATCCACACTCCAAGCCAATTAAGAAAGAAAAACAGCAACAAGGAGCCTGCGGGCTCACGAGCTCTTTGCAGAAAGCAGCTCTGAGCTGCCCTACCTCTTGCTGCACGACCACAGACGAGCCAGGAGACTTCTGATGGCAAGTGCCCAGCAGGGAGGACCTGAAAGGATGGGATCCACGCTGCCAGCAGCACTGCAAAGCTTAATTTGTAGCTAATGACATGGTACCTGGAAGCATCCTGGAGCATGGCAGGTCTTCCGTGCAGGAGGGATGAGGAGTGGGACAGCAATGGGTCACATCCTCTGAGTCCTTGAGCCTCTATAGGTCGTGGGACAGGAGGTTCCTGCAGGGCAATATGGGACAAAGAAGGAAAGCTCAGAAATGCAGAGGCCCTTCAGCTGGAATTGCCCAGGGCAGCAGAAATGCAGTGAGCAGTGCTGTACTGCACATGAGCGCACTGAGCGAGGGAAGAGCAGGGCAGGGATGCCAGCCGGGCAATGTGTGAGCAGAAGCTTTCAAGACCCCCCAGAAAAGCAATGCTATTTTCAGTGTTATTTACTGCAGAAAATAACTACACTTATTAATAGATAAAACTGTAGCATTATTACTAAACCGGCTGCAAAACACTGCATTGCCATTAATGCTGACATTAATACATTAATAATACATTATTAGTGGTTTGTTTAGTAGCTTATGCATTCCTGAAATACTTTCCATGCATTAAGTTTTGTTCACGTTTGCTCGGTATTTCTGCAAGTAATTAAGTCTCATCAGTAATTGTGGCTGATTTTATTAGATATGGAGCAGAGAGTTTGCACCTCTAGCCTGAGCTCCTCCTCATGCCTGCTCCCCTCTCCTGCTCCTGCTTAGGGAGTGCTTTGAAGACATACGATGGCCAACTCCAGCCAACAGTAGACCTAATCCACAGGTCTTAAATATAAATGATCAAAAAACTCCTAAAAAAATCCTGAAAAATTAAAGGGAAACCTAAAAGTACTCAGCTGGGATTTAACCTTGATTGCCATAACGACCACGAAGAGAGCTTTGTTGCTATTGATTTAGGAGGAGAACGCTCTGACGCACTGCGATGGGCAGCAGGACGGAAAGCCAACATGAGAGATGGAGATCACGACCCCGCGGCCTCCCAGCTCTCACGAACGCCCAAGCAAAGGCAAACACCGTGGGAGTTACTTTGAAATCCATTTTGGTCTCAAACAAACCCAGGACTTGGAGTGCTCCTTTGATTCCACATTTATTTTGCAGAGGAAAAGCGGAGCAGCTGCTGGGACAGCTGAGCCTCCCCTGCTCCTCCCAGCCCAGTGCAGATTTCCAATAGACTTCATGTCTTGCTGGAGAGAAAGCACTGGCTTTTAAGTGCTGCTTGTTTAAAGAGAAAATGCCCTTCTGAGCCTCTGAAGAGCCTCATATAGAACACAACCTCATATTTTTAGGGTGCTTTTTGCCCTCATAATACAAGCATCTGCTATCAATATTCCGTTAGAATTTTCTTAATGCACACAGATGTTCTCTTCTCCCTCTCCCCTCTGCAGCTGTGCTGCTTGCCAAGGCCTTGACCTCTCCACCACCTCCAACACTGCAATGACTGCATTAACCCAGGACACTGGTGGCACTGGAACCAGCTGATGTGGGATGGGATCCAGCCAGCCATCCCACATCAACTACCACACCATAGAGAAAAGGTAAAACAACGTTACCATCCAAACAGTCACTCCATAATCACCACAAGCAGTGGTTTTTCCAAAGCAAACACCTCTTGCACAGCCCTCCTGTTGCCCCTGGGGGCTCCGAGGCCCCATGGTTCCCATCCAGCAGCTCTGTGGGCAGCACATCAGCTGTGAACAGAAGGAGCTTAATTTCCTTTGCTTGTCTCTATTTATGGGGATGTTTTATTTATTTCTGGATTCACTTGGTAATTGCCCAGTGGCTAGAAAGAGAAGGTGCTTGAGCTTTTTTTCTTTTTTTTTTTTTAATGCATTTTTAGCATTCCTACAGGCTCCAAACCAGCAACACATGACTAGCTCGGCACACACTGAGATGATGTTTTCTAAGGTACAGAGAAACCACCAATAGCTGAGCACAGCTCAGGGCTGGGCTGCACTGGGGCTGAACAAAGCCTGGACCTCCCCAGTCCCTCTCCATGCATCTGTTCCTCCCCAGATGCTGGTTGCTATTTCTGTCCTCTTCTCAATGCACACTCCTACCTGAGCCAGAAAGAAAGAAAGAGGAAAGGAAGCTCGTGCTGAGAGTCAAAGGGAGAATAAAGAAAAGCTCCTTTTGCTCCAGGGCAGCTCAGCAGTATCTCAGGATGGTTTTTCACTTCCAATCTGGAGCAGCAGTGGCCCCAGCTTTGGCATCTCTCCCCTGGCCCTGAAGGCAATAACTCATGCCCACATTCACAGGCAATGCAGCCTCCTTCAGAGGTCAGCAAACAGGATGCTTCCATACCTTCACCCCTTCCCTTGGTGCTGGGCCCTGCACCTTCCTGCGTGCCTTGGTTGCAGTTGAGCTGCTTGGCCACAACCCAGCACCAAATCCAGGGCTTGTCCAGAGGAAAGAAAGGAGTGAAAGGGGTGAAGGAGAGCATGTATCTTGTGGCAGGAGGGCAGCAGCCCCTGCGGACCTGAGCATCCTGACACTGCAAGCATCTGCAGTGCTCCAGCACTGAGCAGGGACCAGAATGGAGAGCCACGCAGCACTGCTCCCATAGCATCACCCCAAGACTGAGGGGAGAATCTCACCCTGTGTCCCCTCTTCAGTCCTGAATCAGTCCAGGAGGAGCAGGGCAGGCAGCCTGCATTGCACACACCTGGCACTGGAGCTAAATACCAGTAAATACACCTTGTTCTTTGTCACATGAAGCTGCAGTGCCGACTCCAGCTGGAGGAGAACAGATGTGTGAGACCAAGAGAAGGTCTCTCACCTTCCTGAGGGCTCAAAGCAGCAGAAATATGCTGCAGGACAGAGCTGGATGCAAGCTCTGCTGGTCAGCCCCATTCAGGATTGCGTGCTGCCTGGGCTCGTGCCACAGAGCCAAGTGGGGATAAGGAGTGATACTTGACTAAATGAAAGGTAATAGCTGAAAATGCCTGAACTCACATCAAATCTAATGGGAGTTAGAAGCCAGAATGCCTTTGTGTATCTGGCCCTCCACGTCTTTACCTTGATTCAATATTCCGTGGGAAGTCAGTGTGGAGTGAGGGATAGGTTTTCCTCCAAGATTTTGCTGACTGGAAGCCATGGACGGTAGGTAAATCTCACCTGGTAATATCTCACCCTTCAGAGCCTTTTCAAAACTCTGGGAAGTACAAGCATCCATCAGAGCTGACACATTAATTCAAACAGTGTTATTTTCACATCATTTAAGGCCTCTCTTCCCACTTTTGTTTTGCAATTGAAAATAATGTGGAGGCACAGCACCACTGCTGCTCTCACCACTGCCTGGAGCTGCTCCGAATGTCTGCAGGGACTGTTTGCATTCCAGTCAGAATTAAGTGTTTGAAGGGGTTTAGATTTAATCCCATTCAAATGTGCATTTTGTTTAGGATAAAAGAAAAAATAGCGCTCTCTTGCTGAAACAAATCAAGCCCAGGTGATGCTGATGGTGGCAGGGGTTGCTTTACACCTCATTGAATATGCAGGGAATAGAGGTAAATCACACGAGCTGGGAGCAGAATTAGGCTCTGGTTACAAGGAACGCAGTCCAGGCTGGAGCTGCCAGAGCAGGATTAATACATCCATTTAAAAGAGATCACAGCGTGTGTGCTCAGACAGCAGCGTGCTGGGGGGTGGGACCGGGGAGAGGCACTGTCTGCTCCTTGCTGGGAGAAGTTAGGCTTTGGAGGCACGTTGGACTTGGAGGAAAGCAGTGCCTGAATGGGACCTGACAAGCCCTGAGTGCACTGTGTGGCTGTGCTGGGGGTGGACCTGCAATGTGAGGACCAAAAGGACTGGGCTGAAGCACAGCTCTGCCTGTCATGGTTATCTCTCCATGGGACCAGCTGGATGCCAATGGATCCCAATGGACGCCAATGGATCCCAATGGACGCCAATGGCTGCTGTCCGCCCGCCCGGTTCTGAAGCCGAGCTCTGCGGGGCTGCGCCCCTCTGCACCACGCAGCTCATCCCAGGCCACCCCCGGGTTAAAAGGCTCATGGCAAACCTGGCCTCACCTTCTCTGCTTGTGTCTAAGAGATATCCCTCTTCTCTTCTGAAGTTTAATTCAGTTTTTCTTGGTTTCAGCCGGACTCGGAACATCTTAAAAACCAACATCTTTTGAAGATTTCCTTCTCTTTCCCAAATTCAAGAGGAACCGACACAAAAGGAATCCTTGACGGAAGTTCAGGGGCGCTCCGCACCCTGTTCTCCCCTTATGGGGACAAGATGTGGGGCTCCTATAGCCATGCGCTGAGGTTTTCTTGTTCACCTTGTGAAGGTTGGAGGGAGCTGCTGTGTCCCTGCCAGCACATCGAAAGCAGAGGCAGCAGAACGGACAGGCTGACACAGCTTGTTTACAACAGGCAGGAAAGTAAAATGACTGAAAATGTAATCTGGAAGTTAAAAAATGAAGACGTCAAATGAAGAATTAAGCATTTGCTTCTGTAACATCGATTTTTCATCAGTTTAAAAAATGTTCATTTTGATGCGCCGTATATAACAGACACATCCCTGTTAAAAAAGTTGATTTTGATGTGGCTCCATATTTCATTCATTCAGCAGTGCTCCACCATATATTTGGATGAATATTTAAGGAATAAAGAGTTTGCAGAGGTTTTTCCTTCTCTCGTGAAGGACTCAAGACTACATCCACTCTGTATATAGGAAAGAGGCAGGGTAAGTTTGCCTCCATGCAGATTTCCCACTTGGCACAGAGCGTTCTCGGAACAGCCACCAGCAGCTCAGCTCCGGTCCTGCCTCATCTGCTCACTGCTCAGTAACTGGGCACAATTTACTGCTGCTGTGATTGCATCCAGCTGCAAATGACCATGAAGCCAAAATGCCTCTTCTGTCCACTGATTATAAAATTAACTCAAACAAGCATAAAATAAAGGCTAGCAAGCTGAGCTGTTGGACCCGGCCCTTCGCAGTGATTGCAGCTCCTTGGCTGAGCTGCTCTTAAGCAAACTCAGGGCATCCTTAGGACCCCATCTCACAGCCCCTGTGTATTTGGATGAGCTGGGAAGCTCCACTCCAGAAGCACTGCAGTGCTGGCTTCAATGCACACAGCAACAGTTGAACAGTGTGGAAAAGTTCTTACAGGCTCACAAAGGCTCCTCTCCAGCACAATGACCTTTGCTTTTACCCAGCTATCTCTTCATGAACGGGCACATGTTGCTCCTCAATAAATACGTGCCTGCAAATAGACACTTTATTAAGGGCTTTTTGCTTATACATTGTAATTTAATACAAAGCATTTTTTGTCCCAGGAACCAGAAGGTAGCTCTCAGACCCACTCACTTTCTCATCCCTTTGTGCAATAAATCATGGCAGCATTATTCTGTCCTCAAACGTTTCGAATGAGAGGGGATATCAAAGTCGGTTCGGTTTCCTGCATTAGCTTTTAAATGCCTTGTGGTTTCTCAGCACATTTTCCTCTCTTTGTGTGGTGCCTTTACCTCCCTCCCCTTCTTTCTTCACTCCAGGAAGGCTGAGATTTCTTTTTAAGCAAAGAAAAAAAAGATTTCTTTCTTCTTCCTTCTGCTGCTACATCTTAAATGATTCTTCCTTCCTCTCCTGGGTCTCTGCCACCCTCTCCCCAAGGCAGGATAAGGGTGGAGCATTGCAGGGCCCTGGGAGCAGAGCATTTCAGTTCTATGCAGGCAGGAGCTTGGGAGCGGGCTGTGATGGACTCGTAGGAGCTGCCAGGCTCATGGCAGAAGGGATGAAGCTCTCTGGTCCCTCTTGAGACAGCTGCTTCTCTGCCCATGTCACCCAGCTCCAAAAGGCGATGGCCCTGATCAGCTCCAATAAAGCAATTAAGAATAATTTGCAAGAGCACAGTGCCATCAGCATCTGTACTCGAGTAACCCCAGCAGCAAAGACAGCCTTAGCGCGTTGTCTCAAGTTCGAGCTGATTTGCTCTGACAGTGATCAAATGATCTTAATGATTTGTCAGGCAGCTGTCATATCCAAATCTGTTTATGATGAGGAGCAGGAAGCAAAAGCAATTTATTTTGTTTGTTTACCATCAGGATGGGCCTGGACACCCCAGAGTCATTAAAAGAAGTAGAGGCATCTCAGAAGAGCCAGAGCTATTTGATTACAACAGGCACCTTGGCTTTTTCCAACACAGCGAAAGATTTTCAAAGTGCATAAATCAAAACGTACAGCAGCGTGAAATTTGACCAAAGCAAGCCAAATTAAGTGTCCAAAGCTCTGAACCTTGGGGTTTTCCTTTAATAGATTTGGTGACCTTTAGGGATGGCTAACCTCTTGGCATGAAATGAGAATTTCTCAGACTTGCATGACTTATCCATGGGTAAGCTGTGTGTGTATGTGGGCTGGGAGAAAGGGAAGGAGGCCTTGCAGCTCTGCTGCTCATCCTGGGAATTGCTGCACTGCCACATGCCAAAGCCACAGCGCCCTGCTCCTTCCAGACTGGCACTGTCACGCAGATACAGGAGATGTTACATTCAAGCTCGTGCAATCATCCCAAGGGATGATCTGGTGCCACGTTCCAACAAACAGCTCCCTTTCTATCAAACTGGTGTTTCCTGAGGAAACTCACTTTTGTTGGACAACTCCCAGCCAGCTCTCAAGGAGAGCAAAAGCAGTTTGCAAATCCGCACCTCATCGTCTATTCCATTTAAATGATCTACCATCTTTAGCAGGGCTGAGCCTCTCCAGAGCCTGTATCCAAGGTAACAAGAGCTACCAGGGAAAAAATGGATCCAAGAAGTTATTAAAACCACAATATCTTTTCTGAGCAAGGCAGAGATAATGAGCGTGCGTTGCGTTGGATCCCTGCGCCATGGGCTGGCTACCAGCCACCTGCTGGGTGAAGTTCACTGGCTGGGTACCAAGCACAGATTTGTGAAGGCATTTAAGGTCCTACAGACACAGAGCAGTGGCTCAGTACCTTCAAACATCAGTCCAAACTCACAAAAACCTTGAAGTTATTCACTACCTTTGCAGTCAGCCTCCAGCTCAGGACAGCAGGAAGGGGGCTGAACTTCAAGTTCACAGACATTGGGGAAATTTCAGTATAGAAAGAAATTGGTAATTTTGCAAAGAGGAAAATGCAAAACACTGCCCTGGCTATCGAGCAGGGCTTGTGGTGCCATAGGATCCATGTGCCAAGGTTAGGTTGGGATGTGGGGCTTATCCTGGGTGTGCTGTTCTGCATTCCATATGTAGGAGAGTGATGGGCTCAGTCTGGAGGTACCAATGTCCCCAAATACTCCCTCGACCCACCACCATGAGATGGCTCTGCTGCAGGTGTGGGGTCTGGGGATGGTGGATCGCTCTGCTGCATGCACAGGGCTCCTCTGCCACGTGTCACCAAGTGCTTTATACATCCCATGATTAGGGGAAGGTGTCAGAGTGCTTACACTGCATGTGACCGGCATGGGGTGAAGCTGCTGGAGCAGGCTGAGGGAAGGACTGCAGTGTTTGGGTGTCTCAGGGCTCCAATTCCATCACAGGACAAAATCCCACTGATGTTAAAATGCAGGACAGCTTTGCCTTGCAAGCCCAAAGTCAAAACGTGGGCTTATATCTCCTTTGTGCCTCTTCAGAGCAATGCATGACTTACAGATTTGATTTGCACAGAGATTGTGCAAACATTTCCCTTTATCCATCCCTCAGTTTGAGCTGCTCAAAGATTTTAAAGCAAAGTGCTGATCTCTCCTGGGATTTATGCTGAAACCAAAGGAATCAGCTGAGAATCAGTTCCATAAACTGCACCTGTATTTGCTCAAAACCAGAGCAGATTCAGTTTGCAATCAGCCCATGGGCAGCAAGCCCAGCAAGCTGAGCAGGTTGGTGGTCAACAATCCCATCCCAGGTCCCTGAAAACAAGTTTTGCTTTGCTTATACCAAAGCCAAGAACCACCAGACTTCTAATGGATGTTGAATGTTGTTGTCAGCATTCACAGAGCTGCAGGGAGTGAGCTCCAACCAGACCCAGGTCATTAACACATGGTGTGAATGAGGGCTGACATGTAAGCCACGTCCCTGGTCAATGCTGCCACTGCTCCACCAACAGCACAGCCAGCACCACGACACAGCATTGTGTTGGTCCATTAAAGACCATTAAAGCACGTAATGGCATTCCTCAGCTGGCAAAATTATACCAGCAGAGCCCTTAAAGTGATGATTAACCAAAATTCACAGCTGCAATCACTGAATCATTTATTCAGTGGTTTTTGCAGAATTTTTCAAATGAAATGTTCAGCAAAGAACGTTCATTCATTCTTCATTGCTTTCTGGCTGTAAAAATAATCAAATTAAACTTCGCTCTCAAATTCAAACAAGGCTTCAGAGGCAGAGGCAGTCAAAACAAGCACAGGAGAATGGCAAAAAATTGTTCATGAGAGTTGCCTACTCGTTTTAGATCTAACTCGAAGTTTTTGTCATTGCTTCAGTTTGGTAAATCCTGGTTGAATAATAGGAGTGTATGATCAATGGATGTTAAGATGTTACAACCACAAAATAAACAAGAGAGTTAGGCAAAGTGGACTATGATAACAAAAGAGAATAAATGGAAGGCTTACCCTTATGCTGGGCTCACCACAAAACACCAGAAGGAGGGATCTCCAGACAAGATCCTTCCCCACTGGTAGCCAGCTCTTCAATAGGTCTAGGAGGGCTGCAGCCTGGCTTCAACCCCTTCTGGCAGCACAGGTGAATTGCCTTCACTGTGCTCCTCTGGCTGACTCATGGCTCAGGTGATCAATCAGAGGTTCAGGCTTTGACTCAGTAGTTCCCATACAAGGACTTAAAGCCCCACATTACAAATGTCTGGCCATTTTTCTCGACTTTCCCTCTCTCCAAAAAAAAAAAAAAAAAAAAGATGGAAATATTTGTCAGAAGATGAACCAAAGGGGTTTAGACTGGTGGGCACTTTGCTGAGAGATCTCTGCGAGGAGCAGAAGGCATTTTCTTTTCCCTTTTCCCTTTCTAAAAGGATGTAAATAAGGGAAGCAGCAGCAATCAGGCTGCCATCCCTAGGACAGCAAGTCTGCAGCCTATTCTCTTCACCATAGGGGTTTGATGAAGGCAAACTTTCCTGACTCACTGCAGCACATGCAGAAAGAACCCGTTTCCAAGGAAACAGGGATCTTTTGCATGTCCGGCATGTGGTCAGAGATGGGGAAAGGCTGTGAAGGCAGAGCCAGCCCATCCGTGTGGCTGCTGCCTCCTCCCCACCCCCAGCACTCAGCACCCTGCGGGCAGCAGCCGTGCAGCACGAGGTGCTTGGTTCCATCTGGAGAAGCGGAGGGGCAGTTTTCATCTCTGCATCACCTGTGAATTGTAGGGAGCGCAGCGTTCCCCAAAAGAGGAATGAAGACAAATGTGTGGAATGTGCCCGTCCACACACGACTCAGTTACACATTTTCTGCCTTGCTCAGAGCAAATTGTCCAAACCCAGGAGGCAGCACCTCTCCAGGAGGAAGCACAGCTGAAGCTGTCAGCAAAAAGCATGCACGGCCCTAAAGCAAAGCTGTGGCATCTGCAGCGATGCATCTGCAGGCACTCTCTGTGTCTGTAATTAATGTCTGTACAGGGTGCTAAAGATAAAGCATATATAAGTACCGGGTATTAGTATTAGATCCATGCTTACTTAAACCCACCCAAAGCCCCCAGATTGCAGGTTTAGGACTCGGGCAGCATGGTCACCCACTGCTGCTAAGGCTCGTGTCTTTCCACTCCACATTTTGCTCAGCAGAGTCAGCCCAGTCCCAAGTGTCAGCAGTGGATTTGCAGACTTAGCCCACAGTTTGCTGCTTCTTGTATCTCGCAGGGAGAAATCTCTCATGAAGGGACTCAGAAAAGCCACAAATCCTCTTAACGCATCGATTTTAGGGACCTTTGCAGCCCCCTCCCAGGTTGCAGCTCACACACCAGGGCAGTGATACCAGCAAAGCAGTGTTCCTATGGCAGAGGGGACAGATGGCTCCACACTGCCCAGGACGTGTCACCGTGTCCCCTTCTGCTGCCCCCTATGTCAGAAGCTGTCGCCTTCTTTTGTCCTGTTATGGCACTGAATACCATGGTTACAAAAATACTCATTTTAGCTGAGTTCATTTTAAATGTCAACCTCTAAGAGTTGGGAAGGGCTAATTAGGAAAGGGGAAGGGGAGCGGGGATGTCGGGAACTTTAATTTCACTCAGTGCAGCCAACCCTGAAGGGAATTCAGAATTCTGCTATTAGCTACATGCCTTTAATTTGACTCCAAATGTTAGTCAATAGTGCTAACAAACGGGAAGGAGATGCAGCACACAAAGTGCCAATGCCAAGATGCCCCAGCCTCCACGGAGGTGCTAATTGGGGTTAATGGGTGAGCAGCAGACAGCACATTCCCGCCCCAAACACCCACGGATTGGGTGCAGAGAGGGGTGGTGGTGCTCAGCACCCGTCAGAGCGGGCACAGATTGCTCAGAACAGCAAAACAGGTGATGGGATTTGAGCCTATGATTCCACGTGACTGCTCTTACCATCAGTCTGAAAAGGAAAGAAGGAGAAAGGAAGCAGAGGCTGCTGTGTCCTTCCCCCACAGCCAAGCTGGAGAGCGGAGCTGAGCAGCAGAACAAGGAGCAGAGCAAGGAGGTGTGATGGTGGGCAGCCTTGGGGCTCCCTGCCCGCTCAGCCCCAGGCTTTCTCCCAAAGTGCTTTTCAAAAAGAGATCCAAAAAGAATATTTTTGATTTCTTGGGCTTCTGAATGTCCTGGCACTCTGAGATGGAGGGACCTGAACCCCCTTCAGCTCTGTGATCTCAAAGGCAGCCACAGCCCTCTCAGCAGCCACCCTAAGGACCGCGTGCTGCCATCAGAGCCCATCTGGATCCTTTCTAACTTGGGATATTGGATGATGCTCTGATTTCCTTCCAGGTGTGTCCCACAGGTGCTCCTTCTCCACTCCCAAAGCCCAGCTGCTCCCAGCAGCATCTTCCCCAACACCTGCACTCCACTGTGCTCCCGGGGAGGAAAGGATCAATCACAGCGCTTTCTGAAACGTCCAAGAGCTAATTGCCTTCTCTGTTTAAAAAGCCAGCGTTACGGCTTGGGTTAGATCATCCCAATTTCCCTATTCATTATTTTAACCCCTCTGTGATACAGACATCTCCATACCGAGCTGCAACGTGTCTGCCAGGCCCTGGGAGAGGCTTCAAACAGGCGTGTGATGTGCAGAGCCGAGCCCCAGCAGCCAGGGGTTTGCAGCTGGTTCCCCCCCTCCTGCAAGGAGGCTGGATCCTGCTGGCATGTCTTCCTGCCCAGCCTTTATCTGCTAGGGGAGGACGTGGCTTCAGACGCTGCCTGAGAAAATTGTTATGAAATATCAATGATACAATTTTATCTACCTGCAGAACTGACAGGCATATTTCAACAGTGGTATATTATCAATTATAAGCCTAACAGAGCATGTTCTCCCATTTGATTGTTGGAAAAATCACTTGTCATGGGCTGGTAAAGACCACGGCTGTCTGCTTCCGACAGACAGCACTGCAAGAGACGCAAAGCTTCTGTCTTACAACACTCTTCTTTCTCTTTGTTGTTTTTTTCTTCTTTTTTAATCTCTGGTATAATAGGAGACAACTGAATGAGGTGAATTTTATCGCATCCACACAACCAGCAGTGTTTCACAAAGTAGGGCGTTAGGGTCTGGCAAGCGGTGCCAATATCCACGCATTGTGCCCATCGCTGGGCAGAGCACGGATGAGACCCTCCTCTCCTCCTCTGTGCTCTGGTACGTGGCTTTTGCTGGAGAAACCTCATGGCAACGACTGATGGAAGAGCTCTGAGATGCAGGATTCCCTCTAATGCTGACTGTGACTCTGCCTTGGATATAAGAAGCGATAATGCTTCTCATAATGGCCTTGGTCCTTGCAAGCTTTCTACTTTATGCCCAACCATCTATGTGGACAGGGTGCCAGTTATAATTACTTACAAATAGGACCAGAAGGGTTCTAACTATTAAAAAAGCTTTGGTACTTTAAAAAGCCACAACAAGAGAGAGCGGAAAAGAAAAGACTTAATCAGTTTTGCTTTGGAGTTGCCTCAAATTTGTAATTCAATCAAACCTCCCGTAGCAGTGAGGATGTCTTTCTGATATTCACAGGAGCTTTCCAGAGGCTATAATCTCTGAGAGATTTATTCATACTCTCTGCATTAGCTTTAGACTATTTTGGAAGGAGCATCTCTCCCTTCCTCCCGTCAGCAGAGCCCCAGAGAAGATATTAATATTAAAACAATTCAATTACAGGACTCGGGGAGAACACGGGTCCTGGCCAAAGGGCTGCTTGTTACACCGTGCTGCAGCTGCCCTCCTTCTGCTCCTGATATCCCCAGGATGTTGGTGCTCAGAGGATGCAGGATCAGGAGTCCTGATCCCAGCTCGCCATCCTCCCTGCCAGCACAGCTCCGACCATCAGCAGCACTTTGCAGCCGCAGCTGGACAGGGCTGCGGGAGGAGGAGGAGGAGGAGGAGCAGGCAGCCACTTTAGGGAGAAGGATGGGGACTGCTTTGCACTTCAAAGGACACATCATCTCCTTGCTTCACAAGATCACAAGGAAGAAGGAATAGCAAGGCTAGAGGATAGATTAACCTTCCTTCTCCCTTCTGGTTCCTTGTTCTATCCAATCCATCCTTCCCACGCCAGCTAATTAAACATGAAACAAGGAGAGAGCTGCTGAGCCTTGCCAGCTCCCAGCTGTACGTGCTTCAGCCTCACAGCAGGAATGCATCGGTGCTGCTGGTGCTGCAGGAGGAACCCGGAGGGACCTGGCACTGAGCTGCTCCGAGGGGCAGTGCCTCCCAACTCCATCTCACACCCTCACAGAAACACAGAATCATCCAATTGTTAGACTTGGAAGGGACTCCCTTGGTCCGACTCCCACAGCTCAGTCTGAGTGCTCAAAGCCCCATCCAGCCTGACTTTGGATGCCTTCATGGACGGGGCATCCTCTCACCATGCTGAGCTAAGAACCCTGCTGAGCTGGTGCTGTTAGTTCTGCTTGCACCCAGCAGGAGAATACAGCAATAACATAAACCCCATCATTTTGAGTTGCACCTATGCAAGCGAGGATGGTCGAACTGCTGGATGGGGCTGCACACGAGCAGAGCTGGGTGCTGTGGTCTCCCTCTGTGGGGTCAGCTTGACAAACCCAATGAATATTGCATCTCCAGGGAGAAAAGCCTTTGCACGAGGGCAGCTTGGTCCCCTGGACACAACACATGCTGACGTTGTCTGTAATCAACAGATGTTCTCCAGAGCTGATTTTACTAATGAGTTCTCTGCTGTGGGCTGAGGTCCCATAAGCTCATCGGAAATGAAGGTTCGGATCCTACACAACCGCCAAACCTGAGAAGGTGTCAGAGAGGGCAGGAAATCAAACTGATGGCAGAGGAGAGAGATCAGACTTTGAGATGGAGAAGGGACACCCCGCTGCTGCACTCAGCTGCACATCTCTATCTGTGTATCCTGATCTGTGGCATCCACAGCTTTCTATATCAACAACCATATATGAAAGCGAGAGAGAACTTTGAAAGGAAAATAACATCACTGTGATGGGA